GAAGGCTGAGGCGGAAGGATCGCCGGAGCCCAGCAAGTCGAGGCTGCGGTGGCTGGGAGGGGCCACTGTGCTCCAGTCTGGGTGACAGAGTGAGACTCCAACTCAAAAAAAAAAGAAAAAAAAAAGGTGGGCACCTCACAAACACTCTGGGCCTAGGTGAGTGTGGAAGGGCTGCCCGCCGGGCTGTCTCCATTTTTCATTCTCCCCATTGGCCCTTTTCCCCTCCCCCTTCCACAGCAACTTTTTATAGGGGCTCTAGAAAATTGCCCAGAGCCTCGGACCTGGAAACAGGGTTGTGGGAGCCACAGTCCCCTCAGAGCCCCCCACCCATCCACCCCTTGATCTGGGAACAGTGGGGGTTCTACCCCGGTTGTGGTGTCTCAAGGCTCCAAGTGGAGGCCAGCACCACGTTCTCAGGCCTGTTTCCTTCCCCTTTTGAACTTCCATTCCGTCCCCTGGCTCACAGCAAGGGTGTGAGGAGGAAGTGTGATCACTTATAGAAAGTGCTTACTGTGGTGTCTCATGCGTGGCAAGTGGCCAATTAATGCTAGTCGTTGCTATTATAATGGACACTGCAGTCAAATGGAAGGCACCTCGGTGACATGGATGCCATTAGAGCTGCCCACAGGTGCACAGAAGGATGGCACTTCCTTGTGCCCTCTTGAGGTTAGGCAAGACTGCCTTTGGCCAATAAGAAGTTAAGGCCAGAGCACTTAACGACTGGTAAAGGACTTTCAGAGGCTGAACGTGGTGGCTCACGCCTGAAATTCCAGCACTTTGGGAGGTCAAGGCAGAAGCCTCACTTGAAGCCAGGAGTTCGAGATTGACCTGAGCAATATAGTGAGACCCCATCTCTGAAAGGGAGGGAGGGAGGTAGGGAAGAAAGGAGGAAGGCAGAAAGGAAAGAAGGGCGGGAGAAAGGAAGCAAAAAACCTTCCAGAGCTCCTTCCCTCGGCTATGAGGACAGCCAATGTCAGCTGTTTTTCCCTCAGCATGGGCCAGACCCTAGGAGAGGACAGTGAAAGCAGAGCCCAAAATGGATCCCCAGTTGGCATGGACCATAAGCAAGAAATAAATGGAACTTTGTTGTGAGCCACCAAGATCTGAGGGTTGTTTGTTACTGTGGCACCGCTTCCCATCCTGACTGATGAAGTTTCCTGAGCTTTGCACATTTACTGAGCACCTACCATGTGTGAAGTGTTTTACACACATTATATCACCCCATCTTCACAAGAATCCCACCAAAGGGGGCACAGTTGCTACATTTACACATGAGGTGCAATGGACTGAATGTCTGTTTCCCCCAGAATTCATATGTTGAAATCCCAACTCCCAATGTGATGGTGTTAGGAGGTGATTAGGTTATGGGGGTGGAACCCTCATGATTGGGACTGATGCCCTTATAAAAGGGACCCCAGGCTGGAAGCATTTTGGTAGGCTGAGGTGAGAGGATCATTTGAGGCTGAGAGTTCAAAACCAGCCCTGGCAACATAGCAAGTCCCCATCTCTAAACACTTATTTAATAAAAAAATTTTTCAATAAGTGTATTTGCATAATGAACATTTGTATACCTAACCCTGAATTGCACCCCACATTTTAAAATAAAAAATTTTTTTTAAAAATTTTTAAGAGTGATCCCAAAGGGGAGGTGGGATTGCCAAAGATTGATTAACAGATACAAAAGTACAGCTAGATTGTAGGAATAAGTTCTAGTGTTCTGTAGCACTATAGGGTGACTATAATTAACAAGAATTTTGGACCTGGCATGGTGGCTCACGCCTATAATCCCAGCAATTTGGGAGGCCGAGGTGAGAGGATTGCCTGAGCCCATGGGTTCAAGATCAACCCGGGCAACTTGGCGAGAGCTCATCTCTACAATAAACCAAAAAAATTAGCTGGGCGTGGTGGCACGTGCCTGTAGTTCCAGCTACTTGGAAAGCTGAGGTGGAAGGATCACCTGAGCCCAGCAGGTCCAGGCTGGTGTGTCCATGAGCGTTCCTTTGCACTACAGCCTGGGCAACAGAGTGAGACTCCAACTCAAAACAAACAAACAAAAATCTATTGTTATTTTCAAATAGCTGGAAGAGCAAATTTTGAATGTTCCCAATACAAAGAAATGATACATGTTGGAGGCGATAGATATACTAATTACCCTGGATTGATCAATACACATTATATACATGTATCAAAATATCGCTTTGTACCCCATAAATATGTACATTATGTCAACTAAAAGTAATAATAAAAGCAAATAGACATATAAAAGGGACCCCAGAGAACCCTCTCACCCTCTTTCCACCATGTGAGGAGGACACAGCAAGAAGTCAGCAATCTAAAACCCAGAAGAGGGCTATGGCCAGAGCTCTAACACGAACAGCTCTAATGCCATGCCAGCACTCCTATCTCGAACCTCTAGCCTCCAGAACTGTGAGCAATGCATCCCTATTGTTTAAGCCCCCTAGTTTGTGGTCATCTGTGATGGAAGCCCTGACTAAGACCTGAGGTTACCAAGATTCAGAGAAGACAAGTAACTCGGCCTAGCTGTGTTTTCTAGGAGCTGGGACCACACTCAGCCTACACCTGGCATCCACAAGCTCAGCTAATATTGTTAAGGTACAGCCCCACATTGCCCAGTTCAGTCCTCCCCCTCCCCGCTCCTGCCCCTTCCCTGCTTCCAGGCTTCTTGGCAGGATCCTCAAATGGATGCATCTCCCAGCTGCTGGATGTGGGGCCCACCCCCTCCCTTTGGCTCTTTCTAACATCCACAGCACAGCAGAATGAAATGACACACGGCCCTTGGCCTCCCCTAACATAAATGGAACACGACTCCACCCCTGGCCTCCCCCAACATAAATGTTTCATGGCATGGCACCTGGCCACTTCTGCTATCAGAGACTCCAGCTCTGTGACCCAGATAGCGTGTGACGCAAATGGCCTGGTAATCCCTCCCCATGCTCCTGGCACTGCCTGCTCACAAATGGCACTTGTTGGGGAATAGTTCAGGGAGGCAAACAGCACTGAGCATGAGAGGGAGATGGTTGTGTCTTCAGCATCCCACAGCCCCGAGGTGGAGGACCAGGTGGTAAGCGTGTCAGGGCTCCTCTTTGGCACAAAATGAAATCCTCATTCTTCCTCCTTTCTTGGTAAGGCCACACTACCTTTCTCCTCACTGCCCACCAAGACTAGCCTTACCCCTGCCCCAGTCTCTCCCTTATCATACAGAGAAGAGGGAGGAGGTGAGGGGATTTGTGGAGAGCTGAGGCCAGATGAGTGGTCTGGCTACAAGATTTGGAAGCAAAGATGTGTCCCTCACTACCTGTGTGCTCAAAGATAAGTTACCCACCAGAAACCTTATCTTTAAATGGAGAAATCCCCACCTCATGGGATGTAGGGAGTCTCCTCCAGATGATATGTGTGAAGGTGTTTCATCATCATCAGACTTATGTAAATGTATGGCTTGACAAAAACATCCTGGGAATCCATCTGGCCTCTCAGGACCTGCCACCTGAACTCCTAAAGGTCCTTACTTGACTGCTGATTTACCATAAGCTTGGCTGAGTCTGGTCCTCTCTCTCAGCCCCAGATTCCTCATCCATACTTAGGGGTGGGGCAAGGTAAAGCTCTCCAGGATCCCCCCAACTCTGTCTTGGCTTTATGTGTTTGGTGATCTGAGATTCAGATCCTTGTTTCATAACCCCTCTTAAGGATAACACCACTTCTTTTTCTAACTAGTCATATCAAGATGGCTTCACTCTAGTCTCCAGTGCTCAGCACTGCTCCTGCACATCTCGCCAACATGAACAGTTTGTGTGTGGTCCTTGGGGTGGGCAGGGACCCAGGGACCAAGGTGTCAGAGGCTGCAGGACAAGGTCTTAGGCCATCTATCTCTTCCTGGGCCCCAGAGGCCCAAGGAGCAAGAGACTGCCCACACCAGGAGCAGGGAAAAGAGGCAGGAGGGTCTTGACTTAGGGGACAAGTGGCTCCCCACCCTCACAGTTTTAAAGGGTCCTGGATAGCTTCCTCCACCTCACACGACATCACCTCCATTTGCAGCCTCAGATATGGAATCTCATGATCAGGGAACAAAGACTCACTCCACAGTGAAAAAGAGGATTTTAGTTGCAAGTTTCTGTGGGCAAGGTGATCATCTGTGTAATAGCAACACTCCAGGATCAATGAGTGTCCTCAGAACCTTCCTTGAGTGAGGGCAAGGTTCTGGTCACTCTTATAAGAGAAAGAATAAATACCACAAGTAGAATGTGCGTGACTGGAGTCACTATTTCGCCCTATGGTTGGGTACTATTCTTACATAGCTGACGATGGAAACTTCCTTTTTTGTCCCCTCTCAGAGATGCAACAACTGGTGTGGTGGCCTGGGAGTCAGGCCCAGGAGCTGTGTGCTCCTGGGCAAGTCACTTACCCTCTCTGGGCCAGAAGCAGGAAAAGGGGCCTCTGTAAGACGAAGGGGTTGAACAGTGTGATCTCCACAGTCCTTTCTGCCTCAGCCATTCTAAGATTCTCCACCCCTCAGATTCTTCTCCAGAGCTTTGAGTGGGGCTGGGCCCCAGGAGGACAGCTGAGTACAACACCCAGAGCCCCGACGGGGATGGGTGGGTGCAGCCGCAGCTGTGGCCTGGGGGTGGGCCCGGGCCTGCCCTCCCACCACCCCTGCTCACCCGCAGCCAGCTGCATCCACGCGCAGATCTTGTAGACGGTGGCCGTGTTGCAGACGAAGAACAGGCTGAAGCAGATGATGGAGCCAATAATGAGGAACATGCCCAAGGCCACAAAGAACATGGCCGTCTTGAAGGCCCTGGAGGGGATGGAGGAGAAGTCGAGGGGACCGCCCTTGCAGATGAGCTCGGAGGACAGCACGTTGCCCACGCAGTAGGAGAAGAGCCCAAAGTAGCCTGCCTGCGGCGTGTTGACGCTGTCGCCGATCCAGTAGGGCTGGATGAAGAGGGCCATGACCAGCACGGAGAAGCAGATGGTGAGCGTGCCCCACATCACACCCACGGCCCGCGCGTTCCGCACATAGTTGGTGTGGTAGATCCTGGCCGCCTCCTGGGCCGGCAGCAACTTCACCATATTGAGGGCAGCAGGCCCTGGGCCGGGAGCCTGGGG